ATAATGTTTTACTTGAAACAAAATAAAATTTTAATCAAATACACAAATTTAAAACACTTTTGAAACAGGCAAAATAGAATTTTAAAATAATATAAAACAGCTGCAATGACACAAATGTTTATTTTCAATATTACAGCCTATCGTTCATTTAATTTTCAGTCCACGCTCGCAAAAATTTTTCTGAGAAATGGTAAATTATAGTAACAGAAAAGAAATGTAGAAAATTAACCAATATCATACGCGCTGTCAATTTACCTTCGTGAAAAGTCGGCAATTGCCGACGTGCTGTATTTTTTAAATCTAAATTCTCTGATATTCATAATATCATTCGAGTTATGATTTGTTAATAAAAATTATGTCAATCTCTGTAACTTAAACAAAATTTAAATAATATCGAAGAACAGATCTATAGATCTATTCTACAGATCTATAAAATTCTATAAAAATTCGAAGACAAGCATCTAAAAGTGTGATTACTAGACTGCGGATCTTTATGCAAAATAAAAATTTTCCATGACGATTGCAAGAAACAGAATTTTTTTTCAATTTTTAAATTTATATAAAACATTCTTCGGTAAATGGTTTGAATGCAACCTAGTGATTTCAATGCGTGGTCGAAGAGTAACAGATAAGTAGTAGTAATCGTAGTAACATATAATACACATTAACATTATAGCATATTCAAATATATTTAACTACGTAATATTTATATGAATTATCATCTCAAAAAAAGTTTATTTTAATTCTGTATTACATGAGCAGAGGAAAATATTTATAATCCATTTACTATTTCAAAAATCTAAATTGTTAACAACTATGTAATAAGATTGAATATACAACTGTACATGGCAAAATTGTGGCATAATTATCATTATTAGATTCCACTTCCATTTATAAATTACATCTTCCGTTTTATTAATTTTAAGCGATTTACAATATTCTCTGAACAATATTTAACACTAGAAAGATGTTTCAACAAATCTCTTGATTTATAAGCATAGCGTAAGGCAATTTTGTCAATTCCTTGATCAATTTTAATTCTGGTGTTTTTATTTTTTAAAGAAAGGAAATTATGCACTCTGATACTTAATAGTGTTAAAAGCTTTCCGTTTATTTATAGCACGTGAAAGTCTATAAAATGCCAGAAAATGCATATAAACGAAAATAATTCACGTTGCTACTCTTTGTACATCATAAAGAAGCTTCTGTAGAGTAAGGTAACCCTTCTACAGATTTCTACGAAATACTTAATTAAAATAAAAATTTAAGAGAACCGCAGCTGGATCGTAATTATCTGTAAGTGTGAATCTGGTGCTAATTAGGCACATTCCGATGAATTATATACTTGGTCATTCATCGTTAATTAGTTTGTAAATTTATTAATTCAACATGGCACCGTTGAATCGGAGCAGATGATTAATTTATTAGTCAATATTTAAGTTCGTACGCGTTTTAGGTTGGGCGGGAACCGGTTATTCCGCAGTCGATTATAAAAATTCTTCGCGAGTACTTGAGGATAAACTCTACGTCGGTACTGTAAAATTACGTTGTTTGTATGTTGTCCTCTTGGTCAAATATTATGACAGCGGCTGCAGGATGTTCGCCGCGGCTCTGCACCTGTTTCACCGTGAAATGTCCACGGATAAATTGCAGCTGATTACTTCTTATTTATCGCGCGAAGAACAAGAGCTTCATTCTTGCGGCACAGTGATAACGTTCCGAACGAAGACAACGCAGAAACCTGCCAGATGGTCCATCTTGTCCGAAGCAGGTTCTGTATATAAAATCCTGGGGGAAAAGTTTTCAAGCACGAATGAAAGAAACGAGAACCAGTTAATTAAACCGAAAGCCACGCGGTTAATTTTGGATTGCTCACTGTTCGAAAAGCAAGTAAACTAAACGATACGAAATGAGACGAATTCCGAAATGATAGATGAATAAAATATATAATATAATAAATAATATATATAATAATAAAATATATATATATATATATATGTATATATATAATAAAAAAAATATAAATAATAATATATATAATAAAATATATATATATATATATATAAATAATAATATATAATATAATAAAATATGTAATATATCGTACGATGCAGTTTTTTGTGACGAGGGAAGAAATTCAATTTTTGCTGCGTAGAATTATTTGTGAAAATGCTGCGAGAAGCATGCAAATAGTTATTACCTGGACTAGGAGTTTGTTTACCATTTAGATTCAGAATTAACTCGCACCGACGATATTAATCGACGAGAAGATTACTCATTACGAGTTCATTTGTTGCGACAATTGGTGAAAGAAACCCTTGAAATTCATTTTAACATCGTGTCTTGAAGAAGATTCTGTATGGGAGTTCGTGAGAATTTTTGCTCGAATAAAGCTCTATAAAATCGAAGTAATTTATTTAATGGAACAAAAAGTGTGATTTATCGTATTTTACTCTTCACTCTACTCTTTCGATTTTCTTGCATTTCCCAAGTCCACAGGAATTGTAGTATGCTGATTATGGCATTGTAGATAACATGGTAGAGTCGACATGTTAAATCTGCGGATTGCAAGCCACCGTTTGAAATGCAGAGAAAATGCACTGAATGCGAGGTCAGAGTTGCAATCTGTAAATAGTCCGTGGTTTTTGCCCGGGAAGCATCAGACTCTTGGGTCAGGATTGTAACACAGATGATTGAACGTTTCCCGATGAATTCGAAGCATTAAAAAGAATTTTATCAAACAGAGACGCAGGCACAAGAACCAAATGAAAAAGAAAACACGATGCTTATGTATCGTTAATATTTATTATTCATCGTTTCTTTTTCCTATTAGATGCAACGCGGTTCTTGTACAATTATGAAGAAAAAACCACTTGGAATTCAAATGATATTACTTGTCAGTGCATAGTGGTTTAGAAAGCCGCAATTTGTGGCCAAAATTAGAAATACTTTCGCATCGAGTTTTTTTTCTAATACAAATCTAATTTGTAATGTATAATTTTATTATTTGTCGTAGACCATTGAACGAAGGACAAGACTTCTTTTGTTACAAAATTTACTACGAATTTACTTACTTTTACACACTTATGTTTGTAACAGTATATGAGCCGTTTATTTTGAAAGTGGCATAAGTCGCTTTACCGTAATGAAAAGTGGTGATTTTTTAATGTTTATACGAAATTATTTATACTGAGAAAAATATCAGTATCCTGAGATAACAAATACAAGTAAATCTTCTCGAAAGTTAGCATTCATATTTTGAAACGTGTTAAAACGCAAACCCTTAAATATATCGACTTAAAAACAAAGTGACTTATGCCACTTTCAAAATAAACGGCTCATATCTGCTGTTATATTTTTGTAAAAGGAACATCTGTACTGTTTGATAAGAAAATGGAAAGCAATCAGTTCTAATGGCTAACTTCATTCTAATATGAAAAATATGAATCATTACTATAGAAAATCCGAGCAATTTATTCAATGAAATAACAATTGCAAACTTTCACTCTTCTTACATTTTGCAGATTCTAACGGGCACGCTAAGTATATTAGCTCAAAAATTCGTTTTTAAATCTAAATAAATATCAAAACTGCGTCAGATAGGGAACCAATAGCCGCAATATTTATTTATATTTAAAGTAGCATATTCAAAGTATTTATATTTCAGTGAACTAGTCCCCTTAACGTCTTAGCAAAATTCATCATCGTTTGCTCCAACCTGAAAAAAAGTGATTCCGTTTCGAACATGTAACCGCTGTACTATAAGGTGCACCTTATTTTTCGACCGTCGAATTTTTATCGACTGGTCGACATCAAATTTCGAACAGATTATTTCTTCAGCGATCTCAGGGGGTGCGTCAAAAAGTCCAACAGTCGAAAAATAAGGTCCACCCTCCTGCCGATTTCTCTTTTTCACACGATGCAACGTTGTTCACAATGTTTCTATAATTCTTGCCCTAAAACTGACGGTTGTCTACTTAGCATAAACTTCATTAACACCGAGCATGCCGGTCGAGGTGACCGGTCAGACACTTTTTACTTCCAAACTGTTGAAATTCCAAAGACTTTTCCCTGGAATTAATCGACTCGATCTGTCACTATAATACAAACGGACGGAAAATTGGAACAAACCGTTTTTTTTCGAAGCAATACGCGTTTCAGAGCTCGGCAGTTCCAGCGTTTGGAATCCTCCGTCCAGTCCGCGCGACAGCAACGTCGCCGGGAAGACCGATCTCGCGTCGATCACGTCGATCGAAGGGTGGAAAAAAATTTCGGCGGAATGCCGCGGCGACGACGCCGGCCCGGCCGGCGGTCGGGCCCGAATTTCGCGGGCGGCAGCGGCCGAAACAAAACGGCGATTAAAATCCGGAGAAAAATGTATCTCGAATGCCGCCCAATTCGGTAGACGATGAACAACCGCGTGGTGGGGACGATGATGTTATGGGAGTTCGGTGGCCGTGGTCGATACCACAGATCCATTCGCGTCCGCGTCGCGGTCAGTCGGTGCGTGCTGGCGGCTCGGCTCGGTCGTTCGTAGTTTCGCTTCGGCTTTCGTCCGCGATCCGCGCCGCTTCGTACTCCGTTTCGCTGGTGTTACGGTTTTACGGTGTCCCATCGGCGACCACCGTGGGACACGTCGTCGGGAGGGACCGCCGATCGAGGGAAGGCGGACAGGACCCGGTCCGGCCGCAGGACACTGGGGTCCTAGGACCCGGGGCACCTCGAGGTCCCGAGAGGTAGGTGCAATCCCGCGGTCGGTTGCCACGCTAACCGAGAAACACGTGGACCAGCCGACGACACGAGTCCGATCGCCTTCGGTGACAGTGTGGCATTCTTCGAGTGGTTCTGCTGCGAATTTCGCTGGCAACGAAATGTGCGTGCTCGGCTTCCGGTTCCGTTGCTCCGGCAACGCGTGGTGACGATCCCCGAAAACGAAAGTGACGGAAAGTGAGCTTTGCGACGAGTCGAGTTCCGCGCGACAGATTAGAGATACCGGTCCTTGATCGTTCAGGGTGATTTTCGTTCGGGGCTGTGCCAGGCGAAATCGCGGCGTCGCCGACAAATTTTAATCCTTCGACGTTTCGAACGATCTTTCTTTTTTTTTGTGTTGCCGCGAGATTAGTTTTCGGTTTCCCTTCGGCCGGAACCATCCTGGGCAGAGAATATGTTCACGGTGAATTATTTATCGCCTCGGCTGAATATTGTTCGCACAGTGGCGTAGAACGTGGCGGGATACGATTCCGCGCGGCGAACGATTTGGTTTTTCTTTGAGAAAGTTATGTGGTGTCGCGGAGAGGTTGCCGTAAGGCGGCGAGCGATATCAGAAATTGAATCGTCGATGTTATCGAACGTTGAAGGGTGCCTGTTGGAGTGACACACGACTAAGCTGGAAAGGATTAAACTGCTCAAATTATGCTTAACGCGTCTTCTGCCGGTGTTGCATGGTGTAAGGACCACGATTTTGTATTTCCTGCGAGGAAAACCAGGTTGATCTTTTGGAAGAGTTTACAACCGTTCTGTGTGACAATATCGATTCTCATATTTTACGAGAAGAAACGTTTTGTTGAATAGAAGGTTCTTCTGTTCTGATTGAAAGCGGAGATTGCGATTTTTTTTTTTTGGCAAATAAGTAACAGCTAATTAATCGATGTGAATTAATTTAGCAGAGGCGTTTATAAGTTTTCTGTGACAATATTGCTCTTCATATTGTACGAAAAGAAACGTTTTGTTGAATAGAAGGTTCTTCTGTTCTGATTGAAAGCAGAAATTGCGATTTTTTTTTGGCAAATAAGTAACAGCTTATTAATCGATATAAATTAATTTAACAGAGGCGTTTATAAGTTTTCTAATACAATATATTGATCTTCATATTATACGAAAAGAAGCGTTTTGTTTAATAGAAGATTCTTCTGTTCTGATTGAAAGCAGAAATTGCGATTTTTTTTTGGCAAATAAGTAACAGCTTATTAATCGATATAAGTTAATTTAACAGAGTCGTTTGTAAGTTTTCTGTGACAATATTGCTCTTCATAACGCTTCATCGAATAGGGAGAGAAGATCGTTCTGTTCAGATTAAAAACAGAAGGTACGATTTTTTTTGAGCAAATAAGTAACAGCTTATTAATCGATATAAGTTAATGTAACAAAAGCGTTTATAAGTTTTCTGTATTGCTTTTCGTATCTCATAAAAGGACCCGTCGCATTTGATGCAACATTATAGAACAATTATTACAGTAAATAAGTAACAATTAGGAAATGATTCAAGACGTTAGGATCAAGAAATTGCCATTCACGTCGCGCAGAATTCGTTTTTTACGTTAATAATGCGAGTGCACGAACTTCACTGGATGATCGAAAGAACAAGCAATGCCGTAAATATTAGCCGCTCGGTCTCAGTTTTGTTTAAATAAATTGCTCCGATTACTCGTCCGTTTTTTTACGATCACTGCGTCGACGGGCAACGTGTCAACGAGAGGGACCCGTTCGTTCGGCCAATATTCAGAGCATCCGTTTCGTGCACGACGAAACGGCTCGTGCGCGAACGATTTAAGAACGACTGTTCCGAATCCGCGCGAAAAGAAGGTTAGACACGGGTGTCTCGTTATCGCACAGCGACCTTATGTAATATAAATATATTTTTCAGATATTTTTAGCCCGCGACGGTAGGCGCAGACAAACGTGGAACTTCTATCTACCATTGACACTGACAATCCCCCGCTGTATCCCGATAACGATCTCGGCCGATTTCGTATCTCGCGTTGTTTCGCGATCGTTCCTGAACACTTTATGCACCTCCAGCAGCATATACAAATTCCTCGGAAATTCTTATTTCAAGTTCCTGCCGGCGATAAAGCGTTAACATTCGCACGGACTATTTTCGTTGCGGCAATACAGCGCGAAGAAATACTTTTAGACTTCGGCTAATTCGCTTGGTTTCCTACAATATTTCTCCCGTGCTTCGATAGTTCATTGTTCCAGCTATCTTTCGTTTTAATCACCGTGATTTTTGTGCTTGAATAGTTAACCTTCGCTTCGTTTAATCGTTAGGAATAGGAAGAAGACGCGCTGTTAAATCTGTTTTCTCGCTCTCGTTCTTCGCTTTCGTTTAACAGCTAATCTTTTAAGATTGTGTATAAAACGACGGGGAAAGTTTTAAATATTTTATGGACACCGCAAAGCATCGCTTAGAGAAATTTATTTTTTTACACTTATTTTAACACGTTGAAGATAATAAATCGTTGTTTTTATAGTCGCGCGATCGTTCTGCCGTTTCAAACGTCGCTTTTTCGTTTCCGTCATAAATTCGGAAAATCCGCGGACTTCCGATGCCAGGAAAAAAGAATTAATTTCGTAAATTTGAACTGGCATTCTTCGGATGCTTTAGCAACGATTTTGTATTTTCACATCGTCGATGTTCGAGTCTGTGTAATTTTCTACAATCGTTGAACAATTGTAGTCGAGTCTCTGTTCACCGACTCCGAGCGTAACGCGGACTTTTTATTTATTCACGTGGCTTGCAACATCAATGTGCTTGTTTCAGTTGATATCTATCTATTTTTACGTCTGCGCGTATTTCTGCAAAAATATCGAATGGCAGTTTTACTGTAATTCAGTTATTGATTTATGACGGTACTTACCGCGGAGTTTCAATTAATAAGGAAACGATTTCAGGCTCGGCAGCTCGACGAAGCAGCCTATCTTCGCCGAAGATAGTCGTTCTTTTTACAAAAGATCACGGGGAACTGGGTTAGACGGGTATATGATTGACATTAAGACGGTCGTAAATGAACCATTGATATTTATGTAAATGAAGTTTCTTTGTAACCGTCTCTTAGTAATCAGAAACCAGTCGGTAAATGACATTTCTCATTGGTCGCGAGCAGAACGAACAGAGTTTGTAACACTTATTTGTTCTTCGGAAATGATTGCATAAAAGAAAACGCACGAAAATGCTTCGCCCATTCTTGTTTTGCTCCTCAATTCAACAAATTATTTAATTATTTAATTAATTATTAGAAGTATATCTTACAAATCGAATAGAAATAAATGAAGCATTTTACAGTGATCCAGTCAAGAAAATAATGTTCGAATATTAGAACAGTTACTTTATCACAGTACTAAATCTTTAGGGTAATCTATTCACCCTAATTATTATTTAGGGTAATCTATTTACCCTAATTATTATTTAGGGTAATCTCACGTAATCTATTTACGTGAGAAACATATTCATGTCACACAAAAAGAATTTAGACATCGGTAATCGAATTATTTTATAAAATATTATTATATTATTATATTTTATTATATTATTATATTATTATATTATTATATTATTATATTATATTATATAAAAATTATTATATTATTTTATAAATTATTTTACAGTAATTTTGCAGTAAATGCTATTAAATACAGCACACTTTAAAATTAACGTAATTTTTATTTATTTAACGTCACAACCAAGGCTTTGTTTCTACACAAATTTGCCAATAAACATACACTATACGCTATAATCATAAACAAATGAAATAGACTTGAATTTCGCCAGTTTAAACAATTTTATTTAAAAAAAAAAGAATTTTTATAGAAACAGAGAAGCATGATTATACCTGTCATAACTGTGAAACCAAAAATTTCTGACGTGTTATTTTGACGGTTCGGCTGGTCTGCCGGTTGCAAGAACTGCATTTCGTTGTGTTTGACATCCGCGCGCGCGCGCGCACTGCAAAAGCATGAACTCCGCAGTCCAGTCATAACTTATAGCAATGTTAAGTCTACCGTGACACGAACCAATTAATATTCTTCGGTCGGCTCGTCCCCGTGTAACAAAAATAAGGAATACATTCAAGGTGGTCGAGTCGCGTCCGTTTTCGTTCCCGCTATATTTCCCTGTTTCTTTATTTTTTTCCCTTTAGAATTCGTCTCCTCGTTACAAGTAGTCTGCCACCGTTCGCGAAAGAAAGGTCAACGATGATATGAGACGCGAAAACCAGATAGCCGTTTTATCGCTCATTATGCTACGAGAACGTTACGCGTTTCTTTGACTGGCGTGTCTGGTCTTGTTGCGACGGGGTTTTCTCGCGGTGCTTAGGAAAGAATGTATATATATATGGCTATTAGAAATTTAAGCTGTTTAATTAGCCATATTTACGGCTATTACAATTTAATAATTTTATTCAGGACGGGTACACGCCAGTCGTGGGGAAAAATGGTAACTCTTTTGCTCAATACGTCGAGTTCTGAAAATGAACCCCAAAAATTCCCATTAAAAGAACATAATTGAATTAAATGCACCGATTCTAGAAAGCTCAAATTTATCGTAGATGATAAATTTAGTAAATAAATTAATAAATATTTAAGTTAAATTAATAGATATTTAAACTCTTTTGCATTATAAACATCCTAGTGAAATTGAGCTATAATTGAGATCAAGCGTGAAGAACGAGATACATATCTTGTTCTAAATTGATTCTAAATTGATCCTAAAATTATTCTAAGATGTGTAGAAACGTCTTATAATATTATAAAGGTTTTATAATATTAATTATAATTAATATGCATTTTGGAAACCAGCCAAAAATTCCCTTAGTATTTATTTCAATCAAAATGATTATAAAATCTACACGTTTCATTAATTACGTACATCAATTATAATTGATATGAATTTTGGAAGCTAGCAAGCAAAAATTGCCTTAGCATTTATTTCAATTGAAATTATTATGAAACCTGCACGTTT